CTGGGGTATGTGTATGGGGGTGGTATAGGCCTGGGGTATGTGCATGGCGGTGGTATGGGGCAGTATGGGATATGTGCATGGGGAGTATAGGGCTGGGGTATATGCATATGGGGCAGTATGGGGTGTGTGCATCATGAGTATAGGGCTGGGGTATGTGTATGGGGGTGGTATAGGGCTGGGGTATGTGCATGGGGGGGTACAGGGCTGAGGTATATGGATATGGGGCAGTATGGGGTATGTGCGTGGGGCAGTATGTAGCTGGGGCATATGCACAGGCAATATAGGGGTAGGGCGCGTGCATTTGGCTGTGAGGGGGTGTACTCGTGGGGGCACAGCATAGGGTAGGGGCAGTGCACGTGCTGGGGGGCTGGATGCATCGTGGGTTTAGGGCTGGGGTATGTGTATGGGGGGGGTATAGGGCTGGGGTATGTGCATATGGGGCAGTATGGGGTATGCATCGTGGGTTTAGGGCTGGGGTATGTGTATGGGGGTGGTATAGGGCTGGGGTATGTGCATGGGGGGGTACAGGGCTGAGGTATATGGATATGGGGCAGTATGGGGTATGTGCGTGGGGCAGTATGTAGCTGGGGCATATGCACAGGCAATATAGGGGTAGGGCGCGTGCATTTGGCTGTGAGGGGGTGTACTCGTGGGGGCACAGCATAGGGTAGGGGCAGTGCACGTGCTGGGGGGCTGCATAGGGAGGGGTGTAGCACATACAGAGGGGTACGGGGGCGCGGGCAGAAGTTTGCTGCCTGCCCGGTTAATCCCGCTGGCCCCAGCTCCCTGCGCACAGAGTTATTCCCGCGTGTGAGGCTCTGCCCTGCTAATTCCCGTTTAAGACACTGACGCTAATCCTGGCTGTGCTGTACCATCACCACGCCAGGTCCTCTGCGTTGTTTCTTTGTTAACTGTTTCCTCTAATTCCCCGTCCCTCCTGCACCGACTGTCTGCTCATTTTCTGACTGTTCCTCTATTTTCTTTATCAGTTAGTATATTTGTAGAACTTTTTTTCTGCCCGTTGTCATTCAGCAGTGCCGTCTCTCCTTGATGATAAATGCCTTACAGACGGGGGAGGCTTTTCCTTAAAGCCCTGACTTTCAGACCTGATTACATGACACTGCTTTCGTTTTAATGATTTGGTTTTATTATTGCATGGGGAGAAGCTGGAAAGGCTTAAAACCTGCGGAGAAATTAAAATAAAGTATCCTTATAATTTATTTGATGAACCTGCTAGTTAAATCTCCTCCATCGCGTCATCTCCCAAGTATTACTGGAGTTAGGCTTGCAAAGAAACTGCCGGTTGCCATGTGTGCTTTTAATTTAGCATCGCCATTCCCAAATAATCCCTTCATCTGCTAATAGATCTACTTATTCCTTTTCCTCTCCCTCCTCCAGCAGCAGCACAGGGCTGGGGAGGAGGAGCCGTCCCCTCCCACCTTTCTCCAGCTGACGCGGTGGCAGATTTCCCTGCTGATGTTGAATTCCCAAAGATGACCAGATGCTCTCTGAGATGACTCCGGTTTACTTCATCCCCGTAGAGAGATGCTACTAAAATTGCTTCTTTCCCTTTTTTTAGCTGATTTGGACTGAAAACAAGAGGCTGAACACGGCAGCGGATGCGGTGGAGAAAAGGGGACCGTACATCATGAGCAAGCCTCCCTCCATTCACGCCAAGCTCCGTAAGCGATGTTCGGTGTTGTCCCAGGGACTCTGCCGGGATTTGGGGAGACATCTGCACCTCTCGCCCAGGGCGGGAGTAACCGAAAGCCTTTTTATTCCTTGGTGGGATAAAACCATTAAAAAAACCCCATAAAACCCCATAGGCGCTGCCTATGGAGAGCACTGCAATGCCCCCATGCTCTCCCTAGGACCCACCTGCAATGCCCCCCCCCCCCAAAAAGAGCCCCTTGGGGAGCGCCCGGGACTTTTTAGCTCTGCCCCTGTCCTTGGCTTTCAGAGA